CAAATTTCATGCAAAATGATTCTGATTATCCTTGTGTTACGTCAATGAGCTACCTAATTGAAATTCGACAACTCTAAAAGCCAACAGAAAATATGAAAGCTCGTGGTGATGTATTTCATGGGTTAACAGACCCTGGTAACAATCCCCAAAAAACACAGCTACAGCCTTACCAAGATAAATTGGTTGTGGCCTACTTTAAAGCACTGTTTTGGTCAGAGAAAATGCAGGAAGGTATCAACGAGACAGCAGATATTTAGGCACAGATTTGAAACCCGGACCTCCCCAATATGAAGTAGGAACGCCAATAATTTAACGCGATGCTCAGCACACAGCCGTGTATCATCGCTGATAACTTTCTACGTATTACAGTGACCCTCGGAACCCAATGAGGCTGTTTAAAGACACGTGGTTGCAACACGTTTCAGAAAATTCACAAATTTTCATTCCGGGTGTCAATGTCGTACCACTCGCTCTGTCAATGTTTAATGACGCTGTGTTATTGGATTAATATCCAAATTGGCCGTAAATTTTAATGTAGTGTTTTTTGTGTTCATACTATGGTCCGCGGCTACCAATGACGTACTACTGGAATAAATAATCAGACCTCAACGGGTTATAAATATCAATAGTGCGTACTGTTGTGGTCAAAGCTAAATTTTTGCAGCCTCAGTGGTTCATCTGTGATCTAATCCCCAGAACTAACACTGAAACAAAAACTCACGTGATTTCATCTACATTTTCCTAAAGGGTTCTGTAACTGATTATGTAGTAAAACTGGTATGATTTCAAAGTTCATTTTAAGAGCCCTTCGGAGTCTCAAGACTCACGGGGAAGAAAGTGGAATATGGCTGGAAACCACGTTGGAAAAAGACAATTCGGATGACCTAAATGAAGATGGGAAGATTTTAGACTAGATTTGAGAGAAAACTATCTACAAGCGCGCTTAGTATCTTAGGTAGGTGACATAATTAACGTTGCAACTTAAGTCGGAAAGTCCCAATGGAGGAAGGTAAAAACGTCGAACAGACAGATAATTTAATTTCGCAGATAGGCCACCAGACTGCGCTGCTATCAAGGGGTGGGTGGGCTTTGTTGTTTGTCGGTGTTTTTACAGAGTTCAGCACGAATTTCGGAGTGTTCTTTGCTTTTTACGTACTAGCAAATGTTTGCACTTGACAGATGTTTAAATTAGACACCCTTCAGCCTGTGACTGCAAAGTCTGAATCCAAACACAGTTACCAATAAAAATGCTTTTACAAGGAAAATATATGGCCCAGAGTTTGAAAATAAAACTCATTTTTGAGGAAAAAAGTCACTTCCATATACACACAGTTTAAATATTTCAAAACGCTACGTAAAAATAAAACTTTCGCGTATTATCAAAATGGAGCTGCCAATATTCTATTTATTCATATCTCTAAAACGGTAAAGCAACTAGCAGAGAATTTTTTTTAATTCAGTATTTAACAAAGAAGACAGAATGCAGGCGTTGATGTAAAGATAATATTAAAAAGTACTTCAGTTGTAAAGATTCTCAGGAATCGAAATCGATTTACGTGCTCCAGAACACGGTCCAGTGCGCGGGTTCTTGTGACCACGGTAAAGAGCCTGATTGTCTGATTTTCCCAAGGACTCCGCTCCATGAAACTTGTAAAAATTATTTATATACCTGATCTGAGGGCAGAAGAATCTGATAACAATACGAGGCAGTCGAATATCTACAGGTACTCTCTACAGGTACATTTTACGAACGCCAAAGAAAGCCGACAAGGGGTGGTTTGCCAGGGCGGTGTCTGTGCGTGGTGTTAACACAAATCGCCTTGAGACAAAGCGGGTGCCCTGACAGCACAGCGCGTCGTGCCCTCAGGTTGCGGCAGGGACAGACAGATCTTCGTCATACTGATACCGAAAGCCGCTATAAGAAGGTTCGCGGACAGCCGATAAGAGGCGGAGCTTCGTGCCGGGGATAACGATCCTTTACAATTAGAACGTAGCGCAATGTTGTTACGAATTATCAAATATGGCCTCAAAATTAAAAATTTGGCTTCTCCCTCCGAGGAAATTGATCATAAGCAAGTATTTACAAAAATAATGACTTTCAGAACTAAAGAGACGCCAACCAACGAACATACAAACATACCAGAAAACATTACGACCTATTCCAATTCACCGATAACATTTCTCTACATTGACACACTTTAAATTTCCGTCATAGAGAATCTGACATCTTCTTTCGAAGTACTGACGAGGATAAACTGCGGTAAACGTATGGTTAACCCTTTAAAGTACATGGTAACTATATATACCACCTACTTTAACTTTAAAGAACTCCGTATTTTTCCTACAGATCGTTTTTATGGGTTTTGTGTTATTATTATAATAAACAGCGACTATTTACCCAAATAACATAAACCAGTTGGTCGTTGTCTTGGATACGCGTTTTCAAATATTATTTACGTGAACCTATCACACAGGAGGGCAATTTACTATTGCCCTGGACTGTCCCCACTTTTTATCTACATCCCATGGCTCTCATTGGCCAATTCCCACGACCTGTCCATCTCCTACCTCCTAAAAACAAGCAACTTCCCAACATGCCTTACTTCAGCCCAGATAATAGAGGCAGTACGTTCCTCTAAAACGTCGGTAACACAACTTCCACGCGGTTGCAGTAGATCTGTCAAGACACAGTTTCCATTGCAACTATCCTCTATTCTGTCCTTCATAGAATGTTTTCACACACGTTATATATTGTATAAACGCTGGATGTCAAAAATTATTCTTATGTAAGACTTGTCCAAAATCATATAAACGCTATGAAAATATACAGTGTCCCTATCTGGTGACAAGAAACTGAACTCGTTCCCGATATAGAAAAAACACGTGGAAGTTTTGAGGATATAGAGAGTACAAGAATATGCTCACGGGCCAAACTCGATGTGCGGGCATGTCGGAGTCTGCACAGGCCTGGGATGGTTGTATTGATTCGGGGCACTGGACGCATGGCATCATGAATCAGATGTACCTGCGTCTTCGAGACTTGGGGCACGCAGCAGACACTTGTCGAATTACAACTGGCATACTTCTCACGAGGGAAGTTTCCTCCTATACAAAACAACACTTACAGACCCAGCAACTATAACCAACCTCTTAGAGGAATTTCGTGAAGCGGCGACTACAGTCAGACCAATTAACACCGACGAATAATTCCAAAATTTAACAGTGATAATGTTACATGGTTATCTGTAAAGTAAAATAGTGTAACCACAGCTCCTGATGGGTAACAGAGCCAGATGGGCCACGGGTGGGCTGTGAGTCGCCGGTTGAAGACCACTGACATGATCCAAGCTTGAAAGCATACAAACCAGAGATGCGATCTCCCAAAAGCCTCACGCGTAAAGCTCTGTATATCATGAGAACGGCGAAATGAAGTCCCGGACCTTCCAATTACAAGACGTTAAAGCCTTACGGCAGAATGCCCTAGATAATTACAACAGCTACCCCTTGCCTGATTACAGAATTATTCTCATTGTCTCAGGAACCTCGTAATTAAAACAAAAATATCACGCTTTTGGACCACAGGAGGAACTTGAAACTGTGAGCGACTGATAATAATCCATTCGACTGTTAATAACTTAGCCTTCTCCGCGCTGCGAAATACAGAAATAACTTGGTTCCCTTGGAAACGCCCATTGGTTCTACGATAGAATGTCTCTTCCTAATGGTTAGCATTCCACAGTCGTATTCCGGGTTCAAACCTGAGCTCGGAAAGTGGGACAGATTTTAACTGTTGTAATTTTTCCCTTAGTCACGCCAGGGAAATACTGGGATACTGCCTTAAATTTGGCCACGGCCACATCCAATCCAACTCATTATTAGTTAATAAACATCTCGTTTTACGTTAAACAGACCACACATGAACAGCCTTTAGTATAAGTGGAACGTTTTAAATTGAGAATGCGAGAAAACTAAACTTGGGGGGGGGGGGGGGGGGG